GGGGGGCTCCACCTCGTTACCTGTCGCCAGTGCATGCACACCTGGTTGCCTCCCCTTCCTGGTTACTGTGACTAATGCTGCCACGAGCAGGGGTTTGCAAATGCCTCCTCGAATCAGGCTTCCACCCGAAGTGGCCTTTGCCTTTTCCTTGTGACTAGCGACGCAGAGAACACTTTCAGGAGCGTGTTGGCTATTTGAGGATATATATATTTTTTAAAGCCTTTAAATCCTTTGCCCATTAAAAAAAAATCTTATTCTCTGAATGCTCAATTTAAAATAAGACAGGAAGCAGCAGAGTTTCTGAGTTCCCAGATCTCTGCTAGTGAGAGATCAGCAGGAAGGGGCGTGCGCGCCCACTGAGTTATCCACTGTTCTCATGGTGTGGCTAGAAGACCTCAGCAGAACGTAAATCTGAGTGCTGTGAGTCTGTCCTTGTAAGCTTCCTTCTGCCCTCTCTCCCGGCCCGGCGAGTCCTGACACACAATTCCCAGAGGCGGTGACACATTCCCATGTCCAAGATGCACCTTTTCCGTGCAATGAAAGAGATGCACCTGTTGGCTAACTCACCGCCTCTACTTTTTATCAGACATCATCGCCTCAGGACATCTACAAAGATGAGGAAGGATTTAAAAAGAAAGAGGCTGGAATACAAAAAAGGACCTGGGAGCCACACCAGGCATCGCACTTCCTGCTGGGTCATCACGCTCAGCAGGAGCAGCTCCGAGCTCCAAACTGAGGAGGAAAGTAACAGCTGCAAGGAATTGAAGAACACATCCTGCTGGGAAGCATCAGGAACTGAAGAGCCTAGGGGTCTCCTCAAATGTGAAATACAGAGACTGAGTCAGGGCTGTCTCTATCCTTCTGGCTCTGGCCATTGCATCCTTAGACTGGATCTGTTGGTCCCCGGAGGCACTGTCAGCCCCCCAGAAGTTGGGGGACAATCACCGCCGAAGGTGACTGATATGATTGGGCCGTTAGGTTTGATGACGGGGAGGATAGGGGAGTTGTATGGGGAGTGTGTAGGGAGGAGGACTTTTTAGTTGAGGAGCCAGTCAATAAGGGGCCTTAACCCTAGTCAGTGTCTGGGTGAAATGGGGAACTGGGGGCGGCTGGGAATACTGGAGGGGTCCTGGGTAGTCACAATAATGGGGCGATGGTGTTGAGCCACCGTGGGTAGTGAGGTATCCCAAACCTTTGGATCGACATTGTCAAATGGAAAGGAGGGGTCTGCCTGGTTATCCGTGGGTGGGGCCGGGAAGACGGGAGGATGGCTAGGAGCAGCGATGGTGAAAGAGGTTTGGGAAGGAGGCTTGGCGAGTGCATCCCGCCCGAGAAGGGAGCGGGGCACCTAGGCATTACGAGAAAGGAGTGGGTAAATGACCTAGAGCCAGTCAAGCCAGGTAGGGGCCCATGGTGAGGGGGGTTGGGGGGAGCCCTCGACCCCAACAACCGTGATCTTTGATGGGAACGTTTGGCCAGAAAAGCTGGGGAGAATGGAGCAGGAGGCCCCCGTATCAGCAAGGAAGGAAACTGGCTTCCCCGCCACCTGGACTTTCACCCTGGGCTCCGATGACAGCAGGATCTCGTCTGCCTCGTAGGGGGGGTTTGGAGTCCCGGCCCCAGCAGTCCTCTCTGGCCAGGCCAAGCAGGTCCGTCAGGGCCCCGAGGCTGCTTGTCCACCTGGAGCCGAGTAGACTGTTTAGGGGCCTGAGGCTTGAGAGCTGCTGCGAGGAGGTGACATTTTTGTTTGGTGCGGGCAAGTTTTTCCTCCTTTTCTGCGTCTTCCAAGCCATTAAAGACCTTGAAGGCCAGGTTTAAAAGTTCATGGCAGGGGGTGTTGGGTCTCTCCTCATGGTGTTTGAGTTTTTTCCTAATGTCAGGTGTTCACTGAGAGATGAAGGAGGTGTTGAGGACCAGGTGGCCCTCTGTTGAGGCTGGGTCGAGGTGTGTAAATTTGGTGAGGGCCTGCGATAGGCATGCCATGAAGGCGGTGGGGTTTTCAGTGGGCTCCTATGTGATTTTATGCAGCTTATCCCAGTTTACCGCCTTAGAGGCTGTCTTTTTGAGGCCTGCCAAAAGGCAGATAATCATTTGATCTCGGGCTAGAGGACCTGGAGTGTTGGGCTGGTAGTCCCATTGGGAATCAACCCTAGGGACTGCCTGTTCCCCTGGGGGGAAGGTCTGATATCCACATGGGCCTGGGCAGCTAGCTAGAGAGTTTTTTTTCTTCTGGGGTGAGGGTGGACGAGAGAAGAGTGTAGAAGTCGTTCCAAGTAAGTTGGTACATTTGGGTCAGGTATTGGAATTCTTTGATATACGAGGAGGGGTCAGAAGTGAAAGAGCCGAGATGCTTTTCAAGTTGTGAAAGACTGGGGAGAGACCAAGATTGATGGACATAGATGAGTCTCTCTGCTCCTGCCACCTGTCTCAGAGAAAAAAGCCCCAATGAGGGCAGTAGGGGAAGAGCAGGAGGAGCAGCTGATGGGGCAGTTTTGGAGCAGGTGTGGGAAGCAGGTAGGGAAGGGAGAGGCAACATTGGGGTCAAGCGGTGGGGCCATATGGTGGGGGGGTCTTTGGGGTTGGCCTGGGGAGGGGCCAATGGTCACCTAAGGGGTGGGTCATCAAGCAGCTCAAGGAAGGAGGACGTTTGGGAAGAGTCGTTGGAGAGGCAGCTTCCTAAGGCAGGGATTTAGCCAGAAGAATCTCCTAGGGGTTACAGGAAAGACAGAGTTGAGGCTTGTTGTGGAGGGTGAAGAAAGCTTGGACATAAGGCACCTCGGACCATTTATCATTGTGGCGACAGTAATTGTCTACGTCCTGTAGGACGTTGAAGTTGAGAGTACCCTGGGGTAGCCAAATAGAACCATGATCTAGTTTGTATTGTGGCCAGGCGGTTTGGCAGAGGAAGGTGAGGTCAGAGAGGCCGAGGGGGCCGTGGAGAACAGACTTGAGGTGATGGAGCACAGAGGCATTGGGAGAGTCGGGAGGGAGGAGGTGTTGCCCATGATGACCAAAGGAGAGACGAGGGAGCAGAGCATGAGGAGACTGAAGACCACTGTCGACCAGGAGAAGTCCCAAACGGGACAGGAGACCCAGCCCCCCCCCCCCCGTGCAGACGTCTCTGTCAGGGAGGGGGTCACGAGAAGGGAAGGAGCGGCTCGATGTGTCGACGTGATTTTGGGAGGGGACCACAGAGGCCGGACGCATACGTGAAGCTGGGAGAACGAGCCATCCGAGAGGTGCAACAGGGAGGTCTTGAAAGAGAGAAAGAAAGAGGAAGGTCTAAGTCAGGAAGAGGAGAGCGAGGAGGAGGAAGGAAAAAGATGGACGTGGTCCGGGTTGAAGAGGGCGGAAGTGCCCGGAAGGAATTCAGAGTCGACCCAGTCGAGAAAGTTGCCCGGGGATTGCCAAGGGCGGACAGGGGGTCCCTTGCATTCATCAGCGATCAGGCAGCAGCAGGAGAGAAAGAGGCAGGCAACAAAGCAGATGCCAGATTCGGAGGGGCCAACGAAATCAGGGTAAAGGGAGGGGAGGAATATACACCTGGCAAGAAGTGTCTGTGGACAAGAAGGTCAGCAATGTGGCAGGTCCGGGGCTCGAGGTCTGCTTCAGAGGAGGTCAGTCGTGGACCTGGGGAGGGTCCCCTGTCGGGAGGGATGGGCTGGAGCCTTGGCGTCCCTCCCGGGTTTTCGGCACCAAATGCTATGATCGGCCATTAGGTTTGATGACAGGGAGGATGGGGAGCTGTGTGGGGAGTGTGTAGGGATGAGGAGTTTTTATTAAGGAGTTAATGAAAGAGCTTAAACCTCTCACAGGGGAGGAGGGTCGCCTTGTGACTTCTCAGTGACCACACCACCCCTAGGCCGTCTGCCCAGGAGGGATTTCTTCCATGCAGATTCCTGCTCTGAGCAGGAAAAGAAACAGGTTCTAAACCACAGCCTGACAAAACCAGGATGGGACAATTATCTGGGAAACGGGTGGCAAACACAGAGGTGGTTAATACAGAGTGCCAAGGCCCTCTCGAGGGGACTTAGAGTCCAGGCCGCCGCTGACCTTTGCGGGTGGGCAGAGATGTCACAGAGCCGTGAGCTCCAGATCTCGGAGGCCTGAAAGCCCCACGGCCTCAGCTGCCTTCTTGTCTGTCTTCCCACAGTAACATGTCCCCTCCAGGCTGAGCATCTGAGTCCCTGTTACAGCCGCACCCAAATCTGTCCTTTGTCCCCAGGCAGAAAACCAGGACGGCCTAGACTCCTCCCACCTTTGCTCCCTACCCAGCTGGCACGAAGCCCTGCCCTTCTGTGCCCCAAAAGTCTTTGAACTAACTACCTGCTTCCCTCACCCGCTGTCCCTCCTTCCGGCCACAGCACCGGGGGTCCAGACCGCTGGAGAGCATCCGAACCCACTCCTGGCCTGCAGCCTGCTGAGCCGATCCCATTCCAAAATCATGACTGCGAAGTATACATGACTTTAAAGGTCAAGCTTGTTTTTTCTTTGTTTTGTTTTGTTTTTGAGAACAGTATGGAGCTGGCCTCAAACTCACAATCCTGCCTCAGACTCCTGGGTAGCTGGATTATGTGTGTAAGCCACAGGGCTCAGTTTAGGGCTGCAGCAACTTTTTTTTGGTTTTTGTTTCTTGTTTTTATTTTTGTCTTGTTTTTTGTTTGTGTGTGTGTGTGTGTGTGTGTTTGCAGTACTGGGAATTGAACCTAGGGCCTTTGCACTGAGCTACATCTCCAGCACTGTTTCTTTCTTTCTTTCTTTCTTTCTTTCTTTCTTTCTTTCTTTCTTTCTTTCTTTCTTTCTATTACCTGAGATAGGATCTCACTAAATTGTCCAAGCAGGGCTTGAACTAGTTAATGATCCTCCTGCCTCAGCCTCCCAGAGTGCTGGTATTACAAGTGTGCACCACCTCTCCCAGCAGAGTTCAAACTTTTTCACCTGGAAAGGCATCTCTGGCCTCTTCATCTTCTTTTCCCACCTCTGGCTCCCCACCCACCCGAATGACATCACATCTCTGTGAAACTGTGGAAGGACCCAAGACCTGCTTCCGGTCCTTTGCTTTCCCATGTGTAAGTCCTTTTTCATGCAGGACCACCCTCTCCCCTTTCACACCTGTTACACTCGATTTTCTGGCCCTAGCTCAAGTGTCAACTCTCAGATGTCTCCTCTTCTCCAATATTCCCAAAATTTACCTAAAAGCAAAAGGCAGAAATCCTTGCTTCTTTACTCCTTCCAGGCACCTCTCGTGCACCACTGGCTCAGCCGCAGCTGCTCTGTGCTGTAGTTACACGACTGCGTGTGCACGGGGCGGAGATGTCCTTGTCCTGACGCTGCTCACTCCTGCGTCCTCTGCCACAGGGACGGTGCTGTTGGCCTCATTCTGAGTTGTATGGGATAGAAGAGCAAGGACGGTAGAAAACAAGACCCAAACTGCTGCCGGCTGTGGGGTCCTTAAGGAGCCCAGCGTTCTCGTCAGTCAGCCCTGCTTCACTTTCCGTTTTCTGATCTTCCACACAAACGTTCCCTCCGGGAGTAAATCTTTCACACTGCGGGCTGCCTTCATATGGAGAACAATACAGCCCGATGAAAGTCATCTTTCAGATTCCTAATTTTAGCACTTCTGTCTTTTGAAATAGTTTTCTTTCCAATACAGATCATTCGAGTGTGGGATCAGTGTTCATTGCCAGTGTACGAAAGTGAGTGCTATATTGTCCACTGCACATTGTTATTTGTGCAGTTCATTTTTTAAACATCTGGTATGAATCAGTTCAAATCAAGCACTGGCATTGTTTCCACAAATGCCTTCCTTCCTTGAATACCCCCAACCCACATTTGGAGAACAGTAACACAATTGCATGTTTTTCTTTTCCTTTCTCCTTCCTTCTCTTCCTTCCTTCCTTCCTTCCTTCCTTCCTTCCTTCCTTCCTTCCTTCCTTCCTTCCTTCCTTCCTTCATCTCTCAACAACCCAGACTGTTAAGCCTTCAGGAACCAGAGCACACACAGCTAGCTCTGCCCGAGCTTGGGCTGCCGGGCGAAGGGCAGGAGGGACACGCCCTGCCTTCCCATCTGCAGGTGCAGCGTGCGGGAGCTCTGGCCTTGCAGTAGCCTATGGGAGCCGGGAGCGAGGTACTAGAAACTAGAAACCCTCCCACTTCGAAAATAGATGACTAATAGCGTTTGCTGAGGGAACTAGAGATCTGGCTAGTGTTTGCAGAGACCTCTGGAATTCTTTCAGGCTAAGTGTTAGAAAAACACAAATGATCTCTTTCACTGTTAAACTGTGTTCCCATCATGGATGACTTCCCGAGTGACACCTCTTTTATTACAGGGCTGATGCTGTAAGCCACTCAGTAATGGAGACCTTCGCTGGCGGTGAGGAGGAGCAAGGGTGTGCCAGTCAGCCTCTGGCTCGCCACCCCGTCCTCGGCTTGCCTCCCGGCTCAGGACAGGGTTCATTTTCCCTTCCCATCTCGATGGGCCCCGTTCCCATCTGAGCGACCTCTGGCCTTGGCTTGCCAGTGCACACTGCGTGCACGTCCAGGCACAGGTGAGAGGGAGTAAGCTGAGGGAAGGCGGGGAGATCACCCCACACGTGGCTCCCGCGTCCACGCAGAAAGGGAAGGGACACTCGGGCGTGACTGGGAGACAGAAGGAGCCCGTCGAGATGGGGAAGGAAAGAGGCCTGGAAGCGGAAACACAAGGGTCAGTGTGAAAAGGCACTAGGTCTTAGATTAGAAATGCATTTGGGGCTCTTCACAGTCAAGGTGCTGTAGACCACTACTGCAGAAAGTGACTCTTTCTTTCTCTAGCTTCCTTCTGCAGTTTATTTCATCTGTAAGGAAATAGCCCTAGGAACCCACATTGGCTAATTTGCCCTCTCCATTAGCAGCTATTGACAGACCTCAGAGGGCGTGATGACTGCTGCCTTTACTTTGTGCTGCAGCTACTTCCTGCCAGAGATGGATTCTGTTCACTTCTCCAAGTCCCTGGGACCGGTGATGCCACAGCACTGAACTTCACTGGTGCTCCTCTGTCTCAGGTAGGGGTCCGGGCCGTGGGCTTCCCCTCCCGTTTCCTCCCTCCCCAACACTTTCTGTCAGCTCGCTCTCACGTGGCCTGCAGGCCCCTGATGTCCACTTGAGACCCCTACTAAGGGTTCCCAAGGCCGGAAACTGTTTTTGTAACCATTCTAGGAATATCCGCCTTCTTTACTCTTGGTGCCAAAGGAAGTTTCATGATGACTAAAACTGCGGGTGCCTTAGCATGAGGGGCACTGGGCCTAACCGGGACTGCACAGGCCGTCTCTGTGATCTACCGTGTCCCACACTTGCAGGAAAACGAAGGATGCAACCGAAGGACCAGAGCTTCACTTTTACGAAGCCTTGGTCCTTGAAGCAATGGAAGCACACCCAAGGCACTGTGCCGCTCACTGAAATACTGTGGCCTGAGGGCTGTGGCTGAGTGAGCGGCTCTTCACAGAACGCCACTGTTCCTTGGACCTGAGGAGATGAGTGCTGGTTTTCAGGTGGAGAATGTGGCAGGAATTTTCTTAAAAACAGATGGAAAACTTGGCATTTGAAGGAAAACAATGGGTTCCTGGGTCCTGTGTAGCTCTCAAAGTTCCCAGGGTGAGGACAGTGAGAGAATGGAGAAAAAAAGACAAGAGTCAGAATACAGAAAACTGAGGCCAGCTGGAGCCCTCTCTCCTGATAGAAGGAAGGAGGAAGAAGGAGAAGGAGGAGCAGTTCCAATGCTGCCGCTCATTTATTTATACACTGGGGGGTGTTCAGTGTCCCGTGACACCCCTCCACCTAATAGCTTATCCACGTGGCTTGCCTCGGGCACCCAGTGTTCTTGAGACTACAGCAGCTTCTTCCTGTGCCCGGCCTCAGGCGTTCTGCGTTCCTGAGGCTGGCCTTGCTCTGGCCGCAGGTGTGATCCATCTGCAGCTTCAGCTGCTCCCCACATCTCCCCTTTTTCTGTTTTGTAGTTACAAGCAATAGGTGGTCAGCTGGAGATGGAGGAGCTGTGTATGGAGGATCCGTAGAAGACCCTTTTATTTTCAAGCCCTTTCATTCTAGATGAACTTGCTCAATTTAGGCTAAAGATTCGCAGTACAAAGAGTGTAAGTCTCTGCATACGTAGCAAGTTAATCCTGTACAGTGCATTATCCCAGAGCAGTGGTCAGTTACTAGTGTAGTTGTTAACTGTTTTTTTGGTTTCTCTTGTTTTTGTTTTTGTCTTTTTGAGACAGGGTCTCGCTATGCAGTTCAGGCTGGTCTTGAACTCACTTTGTAGCCTAGGCTGGCCTTGAACTCACAATGATCCTCCTGCTCCAGCCTCCTGAGTGCTGGGGTAACTGTTTTATACCTCTTGGGGTTATAGTTTTCTGCTGGAAGTTCAAGAGCAAATTAAGGGGCTGGGGATTTAGCTCAGCGGCAAAAGCGCCTGCCTGGCAAGCGCAAGGTCGTGAGTTCGGTTCCTGGTACCAGAGAAAAGCCAAAAAACAAACAAACAAACAAACAAACAAACAAAAAAGAGCAAATTAAGGTGAGACCTGTATTAATCAATTTTTGCTATCTATCAAGGTCAATTAAGTATTCTGAGGATTTATCTTGGAACCATATATAGCACCTCTAGCTCTTCAGTCAGTGTCATCCATCTAAATGAGTCACAGTCATTGTTTGACCAAGTTGCTTTCTGTTAAAGCTTAGGAGACTCTTTTCTCCTAGTGACCCTCCTTAGGCACATTATACACCATAGATCTTATCCTCTGTCATCCTATAATCCCCTCGATCAGGAGTTTGTATAACTCACGAGAGTTGCAGGATGTCACCGAAAAGGTTCCCTCATGACCTGGGTCCTCACTGACCTCTGAGGCCTGGGGCCAACCTGTTGGCTGTCCTCTTAGCCTGTCTTTCTGGTTTTTGGTCTCCATATCTCAGTTGTCAAACATCCAGAAGAGAAGGTTAAAGACATAATATTTTGTAATTGGGGCAGTGAGTTTAACATTACCAGTTTATCTGAATATCAAGCACCTTAGAACATAAAATAGAACCATTATTTTCTAGCAACCATGGGTGTACTAATAGTTGAACCTCTGTAAAATGCTAATAGGCAAGTTATATAATTTTGCACAAAAAATTTAAAATCAAAACCATACATAATATTGTAGCATGACAATCACAATGACACTTTTGTGACATAATTAATTTTCCATTTTTACATAATACAGCTCTTCTAATCAGTCATCTCTATCTAATACATAAGAAGCTTTTACCTAATTCATTGTCATTTAGTGGAATGTCACTGAAGAAATTTGTAACATTATCTGGACCACTTAATGTCCACACATCTCTAAGTATAGTGGTACATATATAGCATATACATAATATAAGTTTTTGTTATTATTACTGGCTGGTGGCCTCATGATAGCTTGACGTAAACCTCCTATCACAATTAATTGAAGCACAAAAGAGATAAATGTCTGAATCTGAAAGAAAAGTTCTATAACCACAAGCAATCCCAGTTTTACCTTTTAGAAGACACTATACCTGGAACGCATGAATACATTTAATACAGCATGAGATTAACAATGAATTGTTATACTCATGTGAAAAACCTGTTTCTTAGTTTAGTTATGTACCAAGAGCATCTTTTGTGAGAAAACCTTAATTATATTATTTCTAGAAGACTTAACCTTTTGCTGATGACCAATTTACTGGGGGTGTCTTTCATAAGGCTATGGGGGTTTTGGGGGCTCCCCATTAATGAACAAGGACTGTATAATTATCCAGGTAGCTGCTTCCTTATTCATCAATTGGAGTCTTATGCAATTGTCTCTTCACACCCCAAGGAATTTTTGTTTAATTATCTTAATAATTTTTTGATGACTTATGAAAACCAGATCAAAACATTTAACACATTACATTTGAACAATGATAGACTCTCAACTAATAATACATAAACAACAATATACATTACATTTACACAACCAATTTTAGCATCATTTTGTCCAGCTGGCAACTCAGGTGGAAGCATATCAGACAAATGCTTCAAAAATTCAAAAATGCAAAAAGAAAGGAAAGAAAAGAAGAAAAAAGAAAAAAATTGTTGAACTGAAACAAAAATGGCTGATAAATAGACAAATAAACAGATACATGGACAATCAACTTATACACTCAGAGTGTGCTCAAATATATTTTTTGGCCAAACTAAATTATAATAATTCTTTTATAATTTTACAAGTTTGTAATTATAAATAGATTAGTCAGAATTTTTTTTGTATGTCAATTAGTGGAGACCATTTACAAGAAAATGTGGAAGGAACAAAATCTTTTATTTATTATTAATATATAATTTTGTATTTTATTTTGTCTTAAGAATACTGGCAATTTTCATGTCCCTTTCTTTCATGTAGCCTCCAACTCAGTTGTCTCCATACACTCTGTCACCTACTCAAATCTTCTTTTCCCAATTTTCAGTTACTATCTCCTGGGCATCCTGGATCAATTTCTTTAATTGATCCTAGGTCAGGTCTAGTCCAATCTTTATTGGCTGTAGTACAGTCTCCAAGGTATCATTGTCAAAGGACTGAGCATCAGTTTCTTTAGAGGTGGAACCTATTCCTTCTCTGGGTCCATGATACAGCCAGATAGCATGCTCTGGCACTCAGATAGGCCATCTAGCATTCTCTGGAAAGACGCAAGCATAACCTTGACCCCAAATGAGTACTGGGTTGGGTCCCTTCCATTACTCAGTAAGAAGATCTTTCCAAAGGACCCTTTCTAGCTTCTTTTTTTAAACCTTATTGAATTGTCTTTCTACTGCTGTAGTCCCATCCCTAGTAGGATTAAAAAGTTAATAGTGTATAATGCCAAGTGAAGTCTTTTATGAGGGGTGAATTTTGTAGGGGAGGGTTCCCCTTTCAGTTTTTGTATTTGAATTTTGAGTGTACAGTGAGCATGTTCAATAATTCCTTTACCTTGAGGGTTATAAGGAATTCCTGTGTTAAGGGAAATGTGAAGTTTTACAGAACATTTGGAAGGCAGCATTCATATAAACTAAGCCATTGTCTGTCTTAAATGCCTGAGGGCAGCTAAGGGTGCTGAAGGCATCCAAACAATGAGCAATGACATGTTTAGCCACTTCACTAGTGTGGGCAGAAGCAAAAATAAATCCTGAGGAACTGTCCACTGAAACGTGGACCTAGCATAGAGAGATAAACTCAGGAATATGAGTGACTTCCACGTGCCAGAGATGATCGGTATGAAATCCTTGGAGACTAACCCCCACAGGCAGTGAGGGAAGATGTAAAATAGGGCACATGGCATGACCAAATGGCAAATTGGAGAGTGTAAAATAAATGAAAGAAAAGGATTTTCCTGGTGGTGTGAATGGCGGCAATTTCAGTGTGGTGCATCACACTGCAAACACAAGCTCAGTCTGCAAAGGTTAATAGTAGCGAATGAACGATCTTGGAAGGCTCATTTAACAGCCCACAACTCAGTCTTTTGCTCAGAAGAAAAAGCCATATCCTACATTTGGGCGCCTGGGGTTCCCGCTCACCACTCTGCCTCTGTGGCAGTGGTGGCTCGTTGGCCTGAGGGGAGACTGCTGCCCCTCAGCTTCGCCAGCCAACACGGATGCTTCGCCTTGCCGCAGGGGATGGGCTCCGTCTCTGGGTCGGCTTCATTGGTGCCTCCCTGGGGGATGCACAGTCACCGCCTCTGCAGCCAGAGCCACCAGTTTTTGTCCTCCACAGCTCCGTCCTTCTCTGATTGAGCAAGGCCAGAGAGTTTAAGCTCTATGGGTGGGGTGGGGGTGGGGCTATTGCTCCACCATCTTTTTTTCTGCTTAGGGCTTAATTTTAAAATAGTGCTCCAAACCAAATCCTCCGTGGTCATCTCAACAAGTGTATGACCATAAAGAGACTCTCAAATCCAAGTCCATATACACAAAAAAATAAGTAGAAGAATCCATAATAGAACGAGAATTTATATATATATATATATATATATATATATATGTTGTTCTTGA